TTGTTATAAAATAGTCTATTATTGTGGGTCTTACCTTGTCTTTTAAAACTTTTTATACCTTTTTATTCCTTTTTATTCATTTTGAAAAACCACAGACATGTAATATTGTCATAATTATTGTAATTTATAACATCTACTTTGTTTATCTTTATTAGACAACACCCTAATATGGGTTTTTTTTATTATTTCAGCATTTATTTAACTTTGTATCGAGACCTGAAGATGCTTTGCATATTGTAAAAAGCGATACCGGTCATCTGAATGGTTAAATTAAATTGATTGTGAGTAAGTCTTATTTATTATTTCTTTACCTATTTGTTATAATCTTATTTGTTATTTTTCATGCTGGGATGTTGATATTTTTGTCTTCACGTTATTTTAGTTTTAATGTGGTTGATTCACTCTCGTGAAAGTTGGAAGCAGTGGCGACTATGCGATTATCCTTCTACTTAAAAAAAGGAAATCCCTGTGTTTCAAATACAAAGTCCATATTTCAAAGTCACCTCTAGCAAGTTTTTTATCTTCTAACAGGTTTTTAGGAAAATCTTTTCTATTAGCTCGGATCGTACCACAGGCTAAAGTAGTTTCAGTTTCTCCAGTAGTTTTATAGTGGTATAAAAGTTATCAAATTTTATTTTTCCCCAGTCTGCTTTTGTCAAAGATAAAACAACTCGTTCATCTAAATTATATTTCGAGTATTTCTCTTGAATTTTTTCGTTTTTGCCTTGATATACTTGAACTTTTTTTACAAGGTCATTCACGTCAGAGTAACACCAGAGCTTATAATCTCTTTTGATCGGTTTTATCGGATTATATTTTTATTAGATGATAGGCCTTTAAATATTACAATTGACGACACATTATGTCGACACACATTATCTGTCCACCACAATAATTACCAAATTGAGAATTTGACAATCCAGCAAAGGTTTAATTTTATATAACCGATCGGTATTATTTTTTGGTATTGGCAAGTTATCCATTACATGCAAAAATCTTAAAATGGTCTGAAACCTATTTCTTGGCATAGTTTCTGCAAAAAAATGAAACAGACAGATCTTCTTGGTTTGACCAATAATTTCGGACTCCAATAACTATATGATAGCCGATTAAAAATTTTATCCCGATAAATGCTAAGAGTTCTTTCTTGGACATATTCTTGTTTTCCCTTTTGTGTGGCATAAACGTTACTTTGATAAGTCAAATCTTCTATGCTTTTATCTAAAAGCTTAACAAAAATATCTAAAGCGGTTTCAAATTCTCTTGAATGAACTTCTTCCCAAATACACGCAGCTTCTGTATATTGAGGAATTTATGTGGTTTTTTCCAATTTACTACATTTTCTTTCTGGACATTCAGGTTCCAAAAAAAAACGAAAATTTTCCTGGGTCATTATTATATCATAATACGTGGTTTTTCGGTTCTTAAAATCTAAATACAAATTCAGTTATTGTATATAAAAAAACGATGATGAAATATGCAAAAACAATTACGGGATGTACCCCTTAAAAAACTGCACGGTACATGTAGAATTTTCATATTGACCATCAAACGGAAATATTCGACTTAATAATTATTTGCTGAAGCAGTATAAACAAGGTAAACTATGTGAATATCTTTGTTTTATATTGAAATTTTTACTTAAATTTTAATGCACTGAACTGAAAATTGTTGATACTAGGGCACAAAACCCCAGTAGCTAGCGAAAGAATGCCAGACTACCCGGCTCATTTAAAAGTTCAACCGGTAATGAATAATTACAGGCAAATTGTCACGATGTTAGTCGCAAAACACTGAATCCTTTAATCGGCTCTTTATTTACTTCGATTCTCATGTTATTCTTGATTAAAGCTTCTATAAAATGCAATTTGGACGGAATAAAATAAATATTTCAATTTTTGTATATTTTATTCTAAGAGGCACTTAAAGTGTTTTTTTTTCGAAGAATTTTAAAACGCCATACGTTAAGTGAACTATATAGATTTCTTTGATATACAGCGTGAAAGAAAATGTTACAAGACCGCATATTAGCCGTAAAAAATTGATATAATAAGCCGGACTCTTATAAGCAGGTAGAAAAGCCTAAGGAATGGCGATTAATTATTCTTTTTTAATATCAAATAAAGTTTAAAAGGTTAGATTATTTGCCATTTAATTTGAAAAGAACAATTCAACGCTTGTTTATATTTGTTTGTTTTTAAATTAATTTATTTTATTAATAAGTTATGGAAATATTCAGAGTTTATATAATTTTAAAATCTACAAAGCATATAAATAAAACGTCCTAAATTGTTATGAGGATTTATAATTAAGTTTTAGTCGTTTTCAAAACACTAACAAATACATAATCTTTCAAATGTATATTTTTGAAAGATTCACTGACTTGGTATATGTGTAAAAACCCACTGGTAATTCTCATTAATAATAACTGGTAATAATTTTTATTGGAATATCTTGCGGTATATTAGAGTGAGCCAAAAACTTAAGCCATTGAATGTATCTATAAAATTTAAAAAATGCTTGATTTGTTTCTCAGTTTGCTTAATCGGGAATCACATTAATGTTTCTTTGATAACCGATAAAAATGTTAATCAGCAACCAAAATTTCTTTGTATCGAATATCCTGACAACAAATTCCCAATTATAAATAAAGGCTCATGAGCGTTAAATAAACTGACCCGTATTAGAAAATAAAAGAGAAATATAGTTATCTTCGATGTTACACTATAAAATGTAGAGATACAGATTTTTTTTTTATTTTTTACCATAAATCTACAACCCGTGATGGTTTTTGGCTTCTTCCACAATTCGCTTACAGTGTATTCAAATCACATTCAAATCCTCCTTCACCGCCAGCAGCATTATTCAGCGCCAGCAACGCCCATCTCTTCATGGTCCTCTTCTTGGTGTACCCCTCGCCCTTTCCTTTCAAAAAATTGAAGATCTAAACAAGAGTTGTTATGTTTTAGTGATGATTTTGAATTGTACACATTTCTTTACAATTTGGATTATTTGAACGAATGCCACAACTATCTGTATAAATTCATCAATCGACAGACAAATCATGTTCTTGGTTTTGAACGAACGGTCATTATCTTAAAGAAACTCCTTCATAGTTTAAGTGTAACCATTTGGTGCGCATGGTCAGGTAATTGTTTATTGGGCCCTTACTACTTGGAAGATGGACGTACTAATCAGGGATGATATAGAGAATAAATTTTGACAATAATATTATTATATATAAAATAATTACTTTTAAAATTCATCAAAATGATCTTCACAAAAATACATTCTAGATTATGAAGACGAAAATGCTGGATCTCTCTCTATCTATCTCATTTATCATGGCCCATATCTATCACATTATCCTATTATTATTCGATCGTGGAATATAAATAACTTTACAGATGTTTTCCTAGTAGCACTTTTTTCTTTACTGGAAGTCGTCTCTTCTACGCCGGTAAGAAATACTGTTTCCCAATATTAACTAAACCATAGTAGGTTTTTGAGCAAGAAAAAAACAAAAAAACTTAAGTTTCCACTCCCATGGCGAATATAATATATGGAATTATATTTTGCCGGTAAAACAAAACTCCCTGTCCTCATGACGAATTCTATCTAGCAACCCATTTGGTGGAATTTAGAGGAATTTAGCAGAGGCATTTGGCAATTTGTAAACAGACACTCATTGTGTTTATCTGATAAACACCTTACAGACAAAACGATTTAAAGATGACGCTGTTGCTGTTTAAAAACTTGTTACAAATAAACATCTAGAGTAGTATTGTTATGAAGCTTTTCTTGTGGCATTTTAAAGTAATTACTATTTAAATGGGAATAAGCCACAATTAAAGGTTAAAATAATTTACTAAAGTTTTTATTTTGAGAACGATTTCCGAAGTGGAAATTGAAACGTCAATAAACGTATTCTAACCTTTAATTGTGGCTTATTCCCATTTAAATAGTAATTAATCTAGAGAAGTCCGTCTCGTTCGGAATTCAAATATTTTTCTTTTTTAAAATTCTGAGATGTCATTCAAATGTTTATGATAAACTAACATTCGAATATATAATTGGAAAACGCAGGATTAAAACCTTATGCTTCTCATCTTGGGCACGATGGTGCCTCTTCTTCTTCACGTACCATATCAGAGTTATTCGACGTTCTCGATCACCATTGCTCGGTCTTCTGCCACATAAAATGGTCAACATCCTTATTTCAATACCACGACATTTCCAACAGTATGCGGCTATTTGCCAAACCACGGGAGCATTCTTCAAGAAAATGTTCGAAACTTCGTAGTTATCCCTAACACAGAATTTCCTCATCCTTCTCATGTGTCTGAGGTAACAACTCTTGATACTACATAAAGGGTATCCTAAAAAACCTTTTTTACAGTAAATAGACCAACAACTACTAATGAATTACGTGAAAAAAATTCTACCTTTTGCAGCAGCCTATTTTTAAAAGAGAGTTAACAATGTTTTAAGCATTATAAGTAATGAACTACAATAGCGAGCAGATTCAACGGATTTTTTTTGCAGAATAATGTAAAAGTCATCTTATCTGAATTTCTGTTACTTATTTTTTCATAAGGAGGTTCTGTAACTGTTTTTTGTGACATGACAAGTTAATAAGATAATTTTTCATGTTTAATAAAAACTTTCAATAAGTTTTTAATAACAAATAATTATTGTTTTTATGAATTAAACTTATTACGCTTGGGTCTGGTCTTATATGTGTATCAGACCTCGATTTGGCCTTGATGTTGGGAATTTGTTGTTATAATATGATTAAGTTATTGGAACTATATTAAATTTATATATTTTTACGTAATTGTTATAAAGTTTTAGCCAAGAAGTGTAATGATGTTCAGTTTTTTATCTTTGTAGTTAATCGGGATCATTAATTGTTTAGATATATCCTCTTTACTCAATCTATTTACAGTTGGATATAGCCAAAAAAAAAATTGTGTCTTAAACTTATCAAATATTTTCAGATTTTCAGGATAATATGATATAATAAGGCAATTGTAGCGATCTCTCCCAATTGCTTCGCTGATCAAAGGCGTCTGGTAACTCGAGGCAAAAAAAAACGTAATTTCGCATACTCCACCACAATTGGCGTTTGCTGTAGTAATAAGGATATATTCAAGATATCAAGCAAACAATGTCAATATAGTTCAAACCAAACCCATCTTCCAGTGCGTCATTAATTTGTACGTCATAGGATTTTAAATATATCGTGGATCATTGCATGGCATTTTAGTTAAATCTGGGAGTTGCCAGAATAGTAATCAGCAAATATGAAAAGGTTTTTCCTTCCAACACTTTTATTGCAATTTGGAATAAAAACAAATCAGTAGTGTTTATTGTATTTATAAAAAGTTCTGTTTTCAAATGATTAATTATTAAACAAATATAAGCAACTTCCCTCTATTTATTTTTAAATGGAAACTATTTTATAAACTAATTCGAGGAACTGAGAAAATGTCAAAATTTAGATAACAACGTAAAACTCCGTTAAATATATAAACTAGAAGATTTGTGAAACCTAAAAAACCCAACGATATAAAATTACACTACTATTAATTAACCATAATCACTTTGACGTATGCAATGCATGGGATCAATCGCTCATCGCTAGTTATTTGATCGAATATACTTCTGAGGTTATTGAAAAATATATTAAGTTGAGATATTCTATAAAACCCGCTGTAAAAATTGTAACTGTGCATTTATAAAATTCCACGAAATTCCATAATAACAACTTGACAATAACTGTCTTAGTTATGCTGTTTCATTTCATTAAACTTTTTTGTTTGAGTATCACAGAAAAATATTTTCATTACTTAAAAGATCCCGATATTATGTGTAATATTTCAACAAAATCCATTTGTATGTTTTTTGTATATAATTTGTATATTTTTTGTATTAAATGTGTACAGTGTTAAAGCTTGAAAATACATATTAATTGTTGATGAGAGTATTGTATTTAGAAATACTATTAGTAAACTATTTAAATCACATAATATGCATTTTTAATTTCTGCTCCATCCTTATTGTGATCACAGATAAAAACCAGTACTTCATAAGGGTCATAGAAGATTCAGAACACACAAAGTCAACTTTTTTAATGAATTATACTATTACAAGATGAATGTTTGGATAGGAAGATAGTATGAAATGCGGGAAGCGATCCAGGTTTTAGGAATCCTACTATATACAGGGTGGTACAAAAAGGTATGTCATAAATTAAATCACGCATTCCGGGGACGAAAATAAATTGATTTAATCCAACTTCCCTTTGTACAAAAGTGTATACAATAAAAGTTACAGCCCTGTTACAAAATAAAAATTGATTTTTTGCATTATATCCTAAACTAGTTGACATTTTGTAATAAAAATGGACACGTTACTTTCTTATTCTGAAAGCATTTTTCATAAAAAAGAAGCCTTGCTTGATAACAGCATACCACTCTACATACCCAATGAGATACAAACATAACCTTGTACAAGCTTTTAGCTTTAGAGTACACACGTTGACCCATACGCGGTACAAGAGGGAATCTTTGGATTTACTCAAATCCATTTTCATTGATAACTCTTACCCTATATCCATCATCAACAGATATCTTTTCTCTAAAAGCTATGGTCATTCTATTTCGGAAGCACCTAACGGTGCAATACTACTGCAATATTCCATATCCAATAGCATACAGACGAACAATTCCCCGTTAACCCCAAAACCAGCCATAAAATATGCTTCTGTTCCCTATTCCCCACAAATTACGAACAAGCTTACTAAACTATTCAAAAACTTATCCGTTAAAATATCCCTAAAAAATACTAAAACCATTGGAAAGTTATTCTCCAAGCCTAAAACACCACTAAGCTTATTAGAGCACACTAATGTTGTCTATCAGATTCCCTGTTCTGAATGCAACTCCTGCTACATTGGCCAGACCAGTCGATCACTTCTAGGGCGTATAACTTCACATAAAAGCGACATTAGACTTTCCAAACGTCCATGTTCCAAACACTCTTGTGCCCTTGCACAACACGCCATTTCCACCAAACATCACATTGACTTCTCAAATACTAAAATACTGGCGAAACAAAATAATCATCAGAAACGCTCCTTTATTTAAATGTGTGAGATCCTCAAAAACCCATCTGCAATAAACAAAAGAACCGACATCCACAATTTGAGCCCGGTTTACCACTCTCTCATCTTACGAAATAAATAATACCAATTTTTTATCATTTAAAATAGCCTTATTTTCCATTCAAAATAATAACACTATCATCCCATATCTCTAAGTTTCATTAAAACATAAATTACAGAAAAAGATATATCAAAATTTTTTTGGCCACACAAATCCACCCGTCCAACTAATCATTCAATGACCCCCGTAGAAGTTCATAATTGTCTTAAACCTTGGAATTTGTTGAACAGATGGCCCTTAAAAATTTTCGGTATCGCGTCACGTCGTTTGCATAGATTGCAATGGATTGCAATAAATCAGTGTTTTGTTTGTCTTCATTGAAGAACCATCTCTAAATGAAGCCAAATGTTCGTTTAAAATTTTTGTAAATCTTCGTATCTACGAATAGGAATATTATTTTTTGCAAAGTTTGTGTGTTCTTTGTTTGTTTTTTTTTAAGTTGGTTCTAAATCATGAGTAAACTTCAGTACATATATAATAACATCTTTAATATACTACATATTGAGTTGTAAGTTATAAAGTATTAGATCTGTATTTCTTATAAACTGTATTTTAGAGAACTGATGAAGCTTTAGAAATATAAAGCGAAACATCTTCAATAAACTTATGGAGTAGTTGACTTCTTTTTTTTTATTTTGCCAACCTGAATGACCGATTAAACCTTTGAATTCACTAGTTGAATACTTCATTAATATATATATATATATATATATATATATATATATATATATATATATATATATATATATATACCGGGTGGTGAATCGTTGAATCGTCAAACGGTCCATAGGAAACTCAATGGGAAATTTTAAATTGTTGAATTGCTGCTTCCCTAATTATTTTAGATCAAAAGTCATAAAAAACTATTTGTAGAGAATTAAATTCTAAATTAAAAACAAATGTTAAAACCGTTCTAGGAATTAAATGTCTTCAAAATTTTGCAAAAATATAATAGATTTTTCAGACCACCCCTACAAGTTAGGCCACACGTAATACAAGAATATATTATAACTTGTGTGTTTTATCATATTCATGTCAGATGTTTGACAATTTGAATTGTCAATTTTTTTTATTTTATGATTAAATTATAAACAATGAATTTTACTAAATACTACTACTACTGAACAATATTACTTTGTGAACAATAAATTATATTGTTGACAAATCGATCAATATAATGAAATGTACTCAGTTGACGAAAAATCGCATAACGTTGTATTCAGGCAATAGCGCGAACCTTTTCCTGTCACTACCGGATCTTTATTTAACGTAAGATATTCTAATACACTAAAGTTTAATTCCATGTTAAGTAAAGTTATACAACAATTCAATGAATTCCAATATACTGTTACTGTGATCTTTATTACTAATAATAATATACGATAATTTCTAAACATAAAACTATAACAAATGTATAAAACATGAATAAAACATTTTTATTATTGCTCTTTTCTCCTTAACTGAGTACATTTTTTAATCTACTTAATTTTTCTTTTAAATAATAAATCACAAAATTTTGGCCATTTAAATCATAGATAAATATTATATAGTTGATTTAAATATTGTCAAGTATTAGAAACGTTAATATGACAAAACGCAACACGTAATACACATTCTTTTCACGGCGTCTGGCCTGACTTTTAGGGGTGGCCTGAAAAATGTATTATATTTTAGCAAAATTTTGGAATACGTTTAAGTCGTAGAACAATTTTAACAATTGTTTTCGATACATATTTGAGTCCTCTACAAATAGTTTCCCATGACTATTGGTGTAAAATAATTAGGGAAGCAGGAATTCAACAGTTTAGAATTTCTCATTGAGTTTCCTATGGCCCGTTTGACGATTCACCACCCGGTATACATATATATATATATATATATATATATATATATATATATATATATATATATATATATATATATATATATATATGTGTATATCGGAAAAGGAGTACGACCGTCAATCCAATATATTATAAGGATCACGTAATTTACGCCACTGGTACTTGTTCTTAGTAGAAATTCTACGGTACTTAGTTTATAGTTCGGTAGATTTAAAATACCGGCGAAGGTAGACGCTGATCTCAGCGTCTTTATTTTTGTTGATATGATAATACCATTTCACAGATATGCAATAATGCAATTTTTTATACATATTTTGTACTTCTACAAATCTCATAGTCGTTTAAACGTCGAACATACACAGTACTATTCTGAAGCTATTTTCTTGTGGCATTTTAAAGTAATTACTATTTTAAGTAATTTTAAATACTAATGTTTCTATTGTTACGATAAATATGTCTCATAAATATTCTTTCAAATTCTGATTATTCTAGATTTTACCTGTTGGCAGAAATTCCAGATAATACCTACCTGAAACGATGGGTCACCCTCCGATATAAAAAAAACCTGCTTTTGATGGAATTCCTTCGATGGAAGGTCATCGATTCTTCGCCGTGATTCCAGAATAAAGGTCGAGGCATATTATCCTGCACATATAGTTTCCGGCACATAGCGTTTCGGATCGAGCAATCGGACTGCGCGTTCACATTTTCATACATAGAACGTTTCAGTTTGGTGCTATGAAGATATGTTCTTGCTTTTCGCGACAAAAATGATGTACAATTGCTCTTCTACTTAACGCTGAAGAAAGAAAAACTGTAGTAAAAAGAAGGTTTGAAATACATCCGCCAATATTAAGAGAAAGGAAAAAGTAAGGTGAATACTGGACTTTATACAAAGAATTAATTGAGAACGATGGAAAATATTATGGATATTTTTGAATGCATAGGATTTAGTTTAAATATATTTTACATTTAATTACACCTTTAGTTAAAAAACAAAATACTACATTTAATGAAGCCAAACATATCAAACCAAAGAGTATTTTTAAAAAGAAGAGGTATCACTTCCGTGCAAAAGTCCTAATTGTTTTTCACTTCCGTGATTAATTGTTACAAAGCAATGAAAACACATTCATAAATAACAAAATAGCCTCGAAAATTATTTTTTTTAAATTATCTATATCAAAATCAAACAAATCCTAAATAAACAACTAGGAGAAAACGACGGACCCTTAATTCACATTATCCGTACCAACCGGCTACGACCCGTACGTAGCCGTCGGTATCAGTAAAATATTGTTTTCGAATATACTAAACGGAAACGTTGGGTGTCTGTAACGATACCTTCCGGACAG